TGGAATCAAACTCAAAGTAAGGTCAGTACTTCCACGCTTTAAACGCTGCACGCTCATACTCTCTCCCGCACTTGATATATTATCCATTGTTGATCTGCACACAGCTGTTGTCACGAACATTGCACTGGCTTAGGTCACTGTCATGAGACATTCTCGCAAAAAAATCACAGGTTTAGTAATGCAGTAACGCAGCGTTCCTACGGGAAAGTAACGGTAATCTAATTACCGTTTTTGCAATAGTAATCCCTTACTTTACTCGTTACTTGAAAAAAGTAATCAGATTACACGTTACTGCCCATTTCTGGTCTTGAGTGATAGTTCTTCAGGCTTTCTGAAGGTCTTTCAAAGTTTTTCTTTATACATTGGCTGCTTTAACACTTCAAGCATTGAAAAGCCACCAAGGCACTCAAACAATGAACCAACATTCATTCTATCTGCAAATAACACACAATTTAGCAACAAATCAGTTTTAAATTGTATCTTTAGAACCTGAGAGATGTGCCTGACCCTTCAGCTGATCCATCTACTGTTTGCCAAAGCCGCATCCGAAATGGTGTCAGTGGAAGGGTGTCAAGAAGACATCCTTGGGGAAGGGAAATGGAAAGAAAAGGCTGAGGTATGGCAAATTACACTGGATTTCCATTCTCTGCACCTTTTTTCCATTTTCTTATAATGGATATTAAAAAAATGAGCGGTGGCTCAAGACTTTTGCACATTGCTCTATGTCCCAGCAGGAAACTGCAATTCCACGTCTTGCCACTATCCTCAGAAGAGAATTATTGATCATTTGATATGGGAAAAAAGTTATTGTGCCTGTACCAGAAACTGCAGTTCTTTGACTGGCCACTGGAGTCTGGCTCCAAAAGTGAGTCATTCCAATAATGTATGGCTTATTTGACTGAAAAATTGATGTGGGTATAGACCAGCTGTCCTCAACCTTTTTTATGCCACAACCCGGTTTAATGTCAGACAATATTTTAACTGACCGGCCTTTTTAACGTGTTGTGGATAAATACAACAACAACAACAAAAAAAAGATACGACCAAGACAAAAACTGTGGTATTTTGTAAATATAATAATAAACATGAATTCACTGTGTAATTGTGTAACTTAATTAGCAGCGTCCTCCTGAAATGCACCAACAACATTGAGAGTAACATCGTCCTCTCTGCCTCTTAATGCTCTCTGGTCGCTATGGTAACATGTAAATATTTCTTTCAAAATAAGACACGCAACTACAACACGGGAAAAGACCCAGGGAAACAGAGTTAACGATACAAACCCTGAAAACCATAAATTTCACACCCGAGGCTCAACTCTCGCGGCCCGGTACCAAATGACCGGTCCGTGGCCCGGGGGTGGGGGGCTGCTGGTATAGACAGCTGTAGAGGTTAGAGTCACACAGTTGAAATCGACCAACCTTGTTCATGGTGTGGGTGCGATATGGAGCATTTTTTTGTTAAATATAATTTCACAAATACATGACTTCATCTCTGGATAATTGTAGTAATAGTCTATTCAAGAAGACTGTGCTCCACCTTTAGCACAGTTTCAATGAGTCATATTACTTACCACATATTACGATGGATCCGAGCAACGAGTAATAAATAAATCTTGACCAAATGTGGTCACCTGTGACTCCAAAATTAATTCATAAAAAAAAAACATGACTCGTGACTTTGTTGTAGCTATGTCCATCTTTTATATACAGTATATGGATGATCATCAAAAATATGACTGTTGTGGCTAATGTCAGTGAGCTCCATAAAACAGGAAAGCCTTTTGCATGTATTTCTAAATATATATAACATCTGGCAACTTCAATAACTTCTTCATATAGAAACAAAAATATTTCTTATGCCAAGATTTCATTATTGTAGTGGAGGAAACTAAGACAGTGAGAAGTGACAAGATGTAAAACATTCAGTTTAATGACAGTCAGCTGACTGAAAAGCAAACATCTCACTTTTATATGGCTTATAGAATTGCTCAGACCTTTACATGATTCTGCAGGAAGCACCAGTAGCTGTGTGAATGGACTGTGTGAGCCCTCTCAGGGGATACTTACAAAGCTACGAAAGAGATAAAGTGCAAAATCCAGGATATAAAATTGTTTTGGAATAATCTAACTTTACAAATGACAAGCAACTGGTTACAGTAAATAAATAAAATAAATATTATATATAAAAAATCACAAATCACATGTTGGTTCAGGCGTCTGAAAGGGAGGCCAGCTCGTGAAAGAGGAGCCCAAATGTTGGGCGATCGTCTGGTTTCTAGGAACAGAACAGAAAACAAACGACAGTTAATCGTTTGCTCATTTTATGATCAGCAGAAGTTCTGCTTGAAAAAAGGGTAATGTCCTCACCTCCTTCCAACACCACTCCATGAGTAGGTGGACAGAGTCTGGGGCCAAGCGCGGCTTCAGGAGCCTCAGGCCTGCGTTCAGGGAGTCCACCACTTCTGCATTAGTGCGGTTCTCATAGGGGAGTCGGCCTTCGTTGTACACCTCCCACATGAGCACACCTGAAGAGGGGCGGACACGGAGACAGCACTTGTTAAACAATATGGAAGCATTTTAGTCAAGAGGGTAGGAGCCTTGTATCGTTCGTTTAACAGTGAGCTACTCTAGTCCAGTGCAGTGTGTTTTTGTTTATTTATTTATTTTATATAACTGAAACATATTTATTTTTAGCCTCATTTGAGAGTAATTTACTACAGATCAGAATTGGCCAAAATTGTTGCTATCCATTAAAAACACACACACACACACCTACACATGAGACACACACACCTAAAATTTGCTCTGCTGTAAGTTCTTACTTTAAAAGTAATTCATCTTGCTTTCATTCAATACAACAAATATCGTCGTCTGCCTAAAGTATTTGATCCTTAATTGTAATATTGTGCAGCTGAGCGGTTTTTGTGATTCTTCACAAGAGGACGCCCACCTCCCCTTTCACCCACTTACCTACCCCCACACACACCTACACACACACTCACACATCTCTGTAGGTTGTTTGACTCTTCATGTTCAAACCACTGCGGTTCATTCAGGTTTGATGAACACGTTTTCCCCCCACTGTGAGTTTCAGCTTTTTCCACACTCGGCTCAAATGATTTTGTTTCAGTCCATCTTGTTGGAAGTATGTTTCAGATCTTTATACTGTTGGAAGAGGCAGCATGGCCTGTGACTGGCACAGAGCTCTGGCACAGGTACATAAATGTATTTCACTCCAGATTATCTTGATGAAATCCGTCGTCCCCGGCGTTCGTTTCTTCAAAAGCTTCTTTTTTTTGGCAAACTTGGAAACTAGTTTTAAATCCCAAACTTCATCCACCAAGAACCGCTTTGACTTGTCTATTAGTATTTTATCAAACACAAGTTTAAGTTTTTTTTTATAATCCTCTTTCAAAAGCGGGGTCTCTTTTTTCAATCTTCAATCAGAAAGCGACGTATGGTGTCGACAGACGCTTTGGCACTT